TCTACCATTTAGTACGTTCAGTACATATTTTGGCGGGCTCGTCCAGTCCTTCACAAGTGTGCACAGAAAAAAATCAATAAAACTACAATGGCTCAAGGACAACTGGCTGGTGTTGCGGAGTTGGCCCAACTCGCAGAAGCGCTTCGAGTCATGACGCACGATATACAAGGACAGCATAGACGGGAGGTGATGAACTCCAGGGTGCAGGATGCGGTAAGTGGTGTTACTACATGCGACGGGAATATCCCGTCAGAAGTTAGAGCTTATATAGACGAGTTAGATGTGGTTAATGTAGGGATACATGACGTACCAGGGGGTATCGTCAAACTAGTCACCAGAACATCAAAAGGAGCTTTGAGACGGGAAATAGAAAGATTTTTAAATACGCAGGCAGATAGGAATGGGACGACGTGGGCTGCTATAAAATCCTACATACAGAGATCATTTTTGTCGGCTAATGAGGAAGAAAGGCTTAAATCAGAATTAGAAGTTTTAAGGCAGTCGGCGTTCGAAACTCTTACGACCTTTAATAGGCGATTTAGGGAGAGCGCTAATAGAGCGTTCACCGTACCTAGGCAAGGGGAAACTGAGCGTTTTGTCATCAGGGCATACGTTCGTGCTTTGTCAAATAGAAATATGGCAGAAGAACTTATGGTAAGAGGTCGGCCTGCCACGCTGGAGGAGGCCATAATGTGGACAGAGCAAGAAAATTCGGGGAGGGAAATTTTTAGACAGATTATAGGAGTAGGAGAAAATTTGAGGGAACAACAGACAAACGTTATAACACAAAACGCAAGAATAGAGGAAGATATGGAAATAGGTGCTACTGGGCCAGACAGACACAACAGGAGCATGACACAAACAAATACACAGCTTGACGCAATACTGGCAAAATTTACAAACACCGCACAACAATTAGAAAGTGCTCTCACGCAACAACACAAAACAAACGAACGCTTACAAACACGGATGGCCAAAGTAGAAACTAGGGTCTTCAACTCCCCCAACCCACAAAGACAGCGTCAGGGTAATTTTTCACGGCGGACGGCTAACTCCTCTCCAAGGCCACACACACGACGAAACACAGATTGGACAGAGGATGGCCGGCCTGTCTGTTTCAATTGCAATAAGGCAGGGCACGTTAGGTCAGAATGTAGACAATTGTTAGCACAACAACGGGGTCATTTAAACTAGATTCCGCAGGCAGTACAGCGTCCAGACATCGTAGATTAGGTATTCTTCTGTCTGTACAGGGAATAACATGCAAAGCATTAGTAGACTCTGGAGCCTGTTGTAGCTGCCTGCATTTAGACACATTCGTTAAAATTTGCAAAGAGACGGGAAGGTCCCCGGTATTGGAAAAAACAAATGAGATTTTTAGTGTATCTGGCCAGAAACTTGACGTTTTAGGAAAAACGAAGATTAAAATAGATAGAGTAGGGAATTGCGACGTAGTTGTTGTAGGAGGCATTCAACATGAGCTGATACTAGGAATAGACATTTTGAAACGGGGATTAGCAAAAGTTGACTATGAAAAGAAAAAGATGACGCTATCGGGCAAAGAATGGGAACTCATTGATTACGGCGATGCGAGTCGTTTAGAAAGCGTGACGCAGCTACCCGCGTTGTCCGGAAACAAAGAGATAGACGGTTTAATCACCGAATACGCGGACGTTTTTAGCACTTCAGAAAACCCACTTGGCAAATGCGACATCTCACCGATGATCATAGACACCGGGGACGCGCGTCCTGTACAACTTCGGGCCTATCGCGCGCCGTTGGCAAAAAGGGAATTGATCGACAAAGAGATAGACTATCTACTCGAAAATGACATCATTCAACCGAGTCACTCTCAATGGAGTTCCCCGCTGATCTTAGTACCAAAAAGTGACGGCAGCGTGAGAATGTGTGTTGATTACAGAAAGTTGAACGAAGTAACAAAAATCGACCGTTACCCCCTCCCACTCATAAACGACATTTTTGACAACATGGACGGCGCGACGATATTTTCAGTCATCGACTTAAAAAATGGTTTCAATCAGCTGACGGTAGACGAGGCGGACAGAAATAAAACCGCGTTTATTTGTCATAGGGGACTTTTTGAATACAAAAGGGTACCGTTTGGGGTTTCTAATGGCCCCGCCCATTTCCAGAAGGTTATTGATCGGGTATTGACAGGTTTGACCGGGAAAATTTGTAGTCCGTACATTGACGATGTCGTTATTTTCTCAAAGACCGTGGAAGAGCATGTGGAACACCTGCGGCTCGTTTTCGATCGCTTCCGACAAGCGAATTTGAAAATCAAACCATCAAAATGCGAGTTTGCAAAGACAGAGATAAAACTTCTTGGTTTCATCATAGACAAGGAGGGACTGCGCGCCGATCCTGAAAAATTAAAGCCAATCAAAAACATGCCCACACCCAAAAACGTGAAGGAAGTGCGGTCATTTTTAGGTATGTGTAATTACTACGCGCGCACAGTGCCCGGGTTCGCTAAATTGGCGGCTCCTTTATTCAGATTGACAAAGAAAGGCGAAGATTTTGAGTGGTCAGATAAACATCAAGAGAGTTTTGTCGGCCTCAAAGACATCCTTATGTCTAATCGCGTAATGGCACACCCTGACGCGCACAAGCCTTATCGGCTATACACAGACGCGTGTGATTACGCTATTGGCGGCGTTTTGATACAAAGTGATGAAAGCGGCAAAGATAAAATTATCCAATACGTTAGTCACAAGCTATCGCCAACTCAGCAGAGATACTCGACAATTGAAAAAGAGGCGTACGCGATCATGTATATCATGAATAAATTAAGACCGTACCTGTGGGGTGCTGACGTGACGGTCTACACTGATCACAAGCCGTTGAAAGCCTTATTTACATCAAAACTACAAAACGCCAGATTACAAAGATGGGCCGCGGTGATATCGGAATACAACGCGAAATTTGAATACATTAAGGGTGCCGCGAACGTGTCCGCAGATTTTCTTAGTAGATGCCCACCGGCTGAAGATAACGAGATCGCGGTTTTTGATACTGAACAAGATTATGTCGACGTTCGCGCGCTACCGCAAAGCATTCCCATCTACAACATTCCCATTCAAGCCGATGAACTGAATTTGGGAGAGATAAGAAAGCATCAATCAATCGAATTCCCCGCGGAAATTGATGAGGCACAGAACGAGGACAGCGATTTTCAAATAGTAGACGGCATCCTTTATTCAGTTCGACCCCCTACAGATACTGACCCAGACTATCCTAGGCTGCTTTTACCCAGAGCATTTAGACGAAAAATCATTGAAAATTGCCATCGTTCCGTTGGACACATGGGTATCCACAAAACTCTATGCAGAATAAGGGAAGCGTACGTTTGGCCGGGAATGAGAAAGCATGTGACGCGATGGATAAAACAATGCCCCACGTGTCTGGTACACAAAACGCGACCACAAAGAACCACCTTGGGCGAGTTACCTTTACCCGCGTACCCATTTCAGATAGTCGGTATGGATTTAATCGGTCCTTTCCAGGAATCTCCGCGAGGCAACAAATATTGTCTAAACGTTGTTTGTCACCTTAGTGGCTGGGCCGAAAGTTTTCCTATCCCCAATAAAACATCCGAATCAGTACAAGTCGCGCTGGCTACGGAATTTTTTCCGCGACACAGAGTGCCCGAAATCATAATATCGGACAGAGGCAGTGAATTTAGCGCGCACGAATTTCGCTCATATTTGCAAGGTCTGGGAATAGATCACAGGAGAACCACGAGTTTTAATCCACGGTGTAACGGGAAAGTAGAAATATTCAATAAAACACTCAAGGGCTTGATCACCCGACTTGTAAATAACAACACGCGGGCATGGGAGGAGAACATTGCGAATGCGCTTTTCGCCTATCGAACTAGCGTATCTGTGGCCACAAATTTTACCCCATTCTTCTTAGTGTACGGAAGGAGACCGCGAATGCCGCTGTCAACAACCTTAAACGTGTCTAATGACCCCCTCGCGCTAAAAGGCCGTTTAAGTGACTTATCAGATGCCCTGATCACCGCGCGCGACAATTTACAAGCAGGCCGATTAGAAAACAAAAGACGGTATGACGCAAAGGCAAACGCGAACAAGATTGAGGTGGGTGATAGTGTGATCATATATGCACCTGATAATATTACATTTGGATCAAAGTGGGACCCCCAATGGACAGTGACGCGCCATAGAAATAATGTATTCTGGCTAATTAACCAACAGACAGGTAAGACCAGAGTAGTTAATAGAGATAAGATACGTTTGGTTGATAGAGGTGTTGCATGGGATGGCATAGCACCGAGGGCCAGACGTCCGAGGGTGTTAAAAAGGACTCCAAACGCAAGGCAGGGGCAGTTAGCAGCTGAGGACAGAGTTGCTGACCAAGCAGCCAGACCTGCGAAGGACAAGGTAGGTGGTACAGTAAGTGTTTCCGACAACTCAGACACTGACAACTCAGACACTGAATCAGTTCACGAGTGGGAAGCTCCAGTAGCATCAAAGCGAAACACAGTGCCTACACACACTCACAACACCAGGTACAGGAAAAGGCGCATACAGGCAGCCACCGTACCCCAACATTCACACTTCACTAGACACAGAAAAAGATGTATGCAAACAGCAGAGGATTTGGTTCACGAGCAACCAAAGAAGAAAGCCCGTCGCGAGGAAGCGACAGAGCAAGAAGGCAATACCTGCCACGAGGAAGCGGCAGAGGAAATGGAGGACGGTTCTGTAGACCACGAGGATGTGGCACAGGCTGTAGACCACGAGGATGTGGCACAGGAAGTGGAGATGGACGTCTCCCACTAGGTAAGTTAGCAGGTAAGTTCCTACTAACTTTGTTAATCTTTTTGTTCTCTTCGGGAGCCTACGGGGAGTTACAAAAGTTAACGGACGGAGTCCTCCTCATGGAACGGCAGCCATTGAAAGTCATGAAGGCTCAGTGGACTGTCCTAGTGACTATTGAAAAACCCCAATGGGACAATGTCACTATTAGAGGTAAGTTTGTAGATATAATGAACGAAGTGAATTGGGCCAAAAGGGAAAAATTCGTTACGGTTAACGAAGGACAGCAATGGCGACAGAGGTTGGAGGGTAGTCTAAATCTCTTTCATTATCTAGAAGATGCCCAGCAAACTTTCTTTAGCCCGTTAAAGGTGCCTATGGAAAGGGACCAGGAAGATAAGGGCCCATCTTCCAGGTCTAGACGGGGTCTTTTTGATTTTGTGGGGACTGCCGCCAATTTTCTGTTCGGGGTGAGTACAGATAAAAGCGTAGAACAGTGCCGTCAGCTGGTGAAAGAGACGCGTAAAGAATCTCGCGAAATTGCTCATCGCGTAAACATTTTAACTTCAGTCGTGAATAAAACGGTAGATACCCTAAACACCAACATAAAGCACTTAAATTCCATCCAGCATTATCTCCAAGAAAGCGTGTTTAATCGTATGAACACACTCATCCGTGGACTTAACACTACTCAAGAAAATTTAACAAAATTAATGGTCTCGTTTAATATCGAAAGAGCGGTAACAAATTTCGAACGGCTAATTGACCAACAAACATCAGTACTTGAAAGATTTAATAAACAAAGGACGTCACTAGAATTAGGCAGACTTACGGATGTATTATTGCCCCCCAACAAACTTAGACACATCTTAGCTACAGCCATGAGAGGTAGGCATTTAGAACAAGTTGGAGATTTAATGTGGTACTATAGGTTCTTGTCTGTTTCTCCTTTACACGATAAAAGCACGCTGATATACAGAGTAGATTTACCATTAGTTAGCAACGTAAATTTTTGGCTTCACCACGTATTGACGTTCCCAGTGCCATATAATTCCAGTGGACTTTCAGCTCATATCCAAATTCAGAAGGAAATGATAGGTTTAAATCCGAGATCAGGTCAAATTTTCTTTCCAGAGTCATGTATAGGGGAAAACCCAGTAGTCTGTACGTCAGGGCCTTTATATAAGTCGAGTAGTAAATGTGAAAGAGCAATAGTCACGGGAGACGAAAAACACAGGGAGGCTTGCAAAGTGCTGATAAGTAAGAGCTTAGATAAAGGGTATGCCAGGGAATTGAGTCCAGGACAATATGTGATAGTGAGCTGGGGAGAAACTTTATATACTAGGTGCGACAATTCGGCGGAGAAATCGGTTAAAATTCAAGCAGGGACATATTTGATTAATGTAGATAATGGTTGTGAAATCCAAGGCGACAATTATATTCTACCGGGAATTATCCACCAAATTGGGAAAATTACAATTCATTCGGTGCAGCTTAATTTCAGTAAGGGACTTAATTTAACAGAGACTATTCGGGAAGGGGACGCCTTAAAGTTATTAAAGAAATTTGACCAAAAGGATTTAGCATTACAGTCGATTGTGCCTTTAAAACAAATTAAATGGGAAAATGAAAATTATTGGGAAAATTTTATACCGGATAAGCAAAACGTATGGGGCTACCTGGGTACTTTAGCTTTGTTTTTATTAGTGTTAGGCATAGGAATCTTTTGTCTAAAAAATTATGGAATGATAATGTGTCGAAAATTCATTTTACAGAAAAAGAAAAGGCGCAATCAACATGCAGAAGTCAGGATTCCAGGGGGAAGACCATCTGTTTCGTATAATATTCAGCAAGATACAGTTACGCCGTTAATTGTCAGAACGCAGGACTCGATTGAGCCTCTGCGTTCACTATATGATAAAGATTTCAAATTTCAGGATTAGACTGCGAATTCCCCAGCTTGCACATCACCTGTGTGGATGCGATCCAAGCAGAGACTTAGTAGTAAGATTAAAACCCACACACGGATATATATGTCACATAAATATTGTTCTCTTCAGTAGATTATGTATAACGTCCCGCAAGTTTCAAACTATCCTATCCGATTCGATCTAGCAAGACATGCGGGTCAGTTGGATGATAGGTTTGTTCCTTGTTTTAAGAGGCGTTAGTGCGGATTTTATCTTGTGCATTGCAAAGGTTAATGTATATCTATGTTTTTTTTTTAAAACTAATGATCAGTTTTTTTTTCTCTATATAGGAGAGGCAGAAATCCCATTGGAAGTTTAACCATATCAGATTTTAATTATATGTATGCGCATGGGTAAATTAACCTGTTTTGAATTTTATGTGTGTCGGTATATGATGGGATTTATTGCAATATTATAAGTGGTGGTGTCTTCTTTCTCCAACTGGTGCATGGTCTTCGGGTGCAGGTGATTTTCTTTTGCACATCTATCACTGGGGCATGGACTTTGGGTAATGGGGTCTCTTTCAGTGTGCAGATCTCCGACACTACGATCCGAGAAGAGGCTCCGACACTGTCCATGGGAACATATCTTCGACACTACGATCCTGGGAAGGGACTTCGACACTACGATCCTGGGAAGGGACTTCGACACTACGATCCTGGGAAGGGACTTCGACACTTCGAACCTAGGAGAGAGACCAGCGGAGAGGGCCTTTTTAAAACGTTTTCGTGCGTTTTCTATGTTTTGATTACGCACAGTCAGGTCAGTTATCTGCTACCGTTAACCATGTAAAAACGGTACTACCTGTCCATGGTCGAGCCGTCGGCGACTAAACCGGCAAAACCTTGTTGGGCTTGCCCAGCAAGGATAAGGGCATCAGGACGCCCTGAGGGAACTAAATAATCCCTCAAAGATCTGCGGATCATCCTGGGCCCTCATTAGCAGACCCTGCAGGACCCATGCAACAAGAAGAAGGAAGAATCCACGAAGCCAGCGCCGGAATGAATATAGACTTTTAAATAATAAGTTTTACTGTTTTAATTTAAGATTAATATATTTAAGAGTATCGAAAATTATATATAATATTTTGTAAATATCACGTTAAATAAAAAAAAAAAAAAATCTTATCATATTTTTTTTTTCGGGAAAAAATGAAGGAATATGTCGGGAGCGCACGTGGATCAAGAGACGCTCCCGATGACCTAATTACGTAAATAGACTTCATTAACTTAAGGCGCTGATTGGACACTCGTCCTGCAGCAGAAAATCCACCTAAGATCATCCTGATAAAGAAAACTGGTATAAAAGATCGTTCTTATTACAAATCGTGGTCAGTTGTTTAATAAAGCAGCGTTACGTTGATTTATCCTTGTGGTTGACTTGGTTTCTGGCGCACACACTTACGTGAAGTTTTAGACATACGAATCTGGGATCGATCGTGAGAGTGAAAGGTTACTTGTGTAAGTGAGCGCGTAAGTGAACGATAGTGAGTGAAAGCTTTCTACCATTTAGTACGTTCAGTACAGCCACACCTAGATCCCAGCACTGATGAAGCCCAAATTTTATGTGGAGGGAGTTGTGATTATACATGACCTAAACCCAAGAGATGGGTGCGCAGGCCCATGTAGTGTAGGAGGAGAAGTGGTAACGGTGACATGGCGGCAGAGTCAGAGGAGCCGGCAGAACATGCGGGTCGGGACTAAAACCATGTGTATCACTAGCACCTACGCTGGTGGTACAATTATTTTAACACTATTAAGAATTTTCTTCTAAAAATGATGCACTGCTCGCAGTCACTGGTAACGATTCGTACATAAGTCATAATTTGCAAAGGGATATTTCTTACAAGAAAAATTCCACTTAAGAAATTTCATTATGTATATAAAAATATAATTGGTAAAAATATTGTTTACCTTATCACAAGCATTCTAATACCATGTTATTTGATTAGAAAATGCAAAAATTACCTGTATAGACAATTTCAAATTCTGTGCTATTTTTAGCCTTGCTCCTGCTAGTTGCAATTACTGAGACATTGTAAGTCATGCCTGGTTCCAAACTTGTTATTGTCTTTGTTTTGTTATTAGTGAACTCTTGAAAAACTATAGCACCATGCAATATGTTCACTACAACATAGAATCCACCTACGACACCTTCACCTACATCCCAACTCAATTTGATGGATGTAGTTGTTGAAGTTATCTCAAGGTTGTAAGGACGACTTGGTGCTGTAAAATTCAAATAATAATACATAACAAATACATGTCAATGACTTAAATTACATCATTTCACATGTTAAAGGAACTTTATTTCTGGCAATGAAACGTGGGCACACCTTTAACAAGCACTATGCTATAGGCTCTTATGTGGAAACAAGGCAGCAAAGCTGTCAAATGTACAGACAAAAAACAGAAAATAAAGATGCAAAAAAAGGTCATTTTGTCAATTTTGATGCAATAATAAATAATGCTTATAATAGCACTGTCAGTCAACACTGAATTTTAATCATGCACAACAGGTAACATGTTCAATAACAGGAGCGGACCCTGAGATATTTTCTGACAGTATTCCAAAGTATCTATGTTGATCCATCCTCCATTTTGATGGTCTTCCAACAGAAAAAAATAGATACTAGTCAATATAAACTTAATAACCTGTCTTCCAGAAGACCCAGAAGATGGTCTCAATCCACCCCTTCAATAAGATTACAGTTTCAA